TGACATTTTTCAAAAAATAAAAAGCTAACCAATTTATATGTTTTTCTTTGCCCCACCGCTCACCAACTTATTTCCCATCCTCATATTTTCAGAAAAATGAAGTAAATTGCACTTTAGACTGTAAGTATAAATTTGTTTGATCACATATGGAAAACTTTGGGAAGAAATACTTTTGGGAAAAAGAAAGGAAATGCACATTTAATAATTGTGGGTTTTTCCCTTTCCCTTAGTGGAGTTAGCTATATGAAAATAAGGTCTTAATCTCTGCAGCATTATCCTTTGGTTCTCACCTGAGTCTGCTGTGCTTATTAGGAGTTCACTGTTGAAATGCTTATGCGATAGCAGTATAAGGATGTTTGGCATGTCATCTGCATCACAGCCCATAGATCTCCAAACACTTCAGAAATGTTTGCAAATTAATCCTCTTTACATTTCAGCAAATTATTCACTCTTCAGAGCCCCCAGACGGGGAACAGGAGACTGGATTCCTGAGTGGAACACTGTATTCGTTTGGATGAAAGGGAACAGATAGGAGGGTGACTTAATTAGTGTGCACACACTTTGTGGTAGTAGATTCAAGAGCCAATAAAATGCTGCTAGCCAAACATGTTAAGTGGTAGGTGGCAACATCCGACACTCTCCTAGCACAGCGTTCTGAGCAGGGTCTGGGGCATGCCTCTGGGCTCACCCCTTAGCTGTGTTACTCCCAAGCTCATGAGCAAGTTTCTTTACTGTCTTAGCTTCACTTTCCTCAACTGTAAAATCAAGGTCATACCTGCTTTACATGGTTGTTGCGACAATTAAACAAAATGATGCACATAATTATCCTGGCATCCAGGCCAAGCCTCAAAGTTAGGTATTTTATGGCATTATTTCCCCACTGGGATGCATTTCCAAAGGCACAGCCTAAGTGAGAGAAGCCAGAACGCTAGGATCCCACTTTTATCTCTTCCAGAAAAATCAACTTCACAATGATATAACTACACGAAAGCAGTCTATAAGTATCTTGGTTTTAGCCCCACACTACGTAGGCTTTGTATCCAAGGTCCCATATTCTGCAGTTTAATGTCACACTTAAACCATGTCCTCATGTATTCATTCAGCCAATGTGCATGGTGCACACTGCACGCAGGGCGCGGGTTTAGGTGCTGAGAATTCAAAGGTTGGATCAGATAGATAGTTCCTGAAGTTGTTTCCAGTCCAGGGCACAGGAAGTGGACGAGGTGAAGGAGAGTAGACAGAAAGGGTCAGAGGAGGGGAGTTTTCAAAAATTTACTGCCTGAAAATTGGCAGTCTTGCTACTTGGAAGCTCAAAATACTTATGTTCTTGGATAATGTCTCTCTATACGTCTCTCCATCCTGCCCTCTGTATCCTCAGATATCCTTTCTTGGCGTTATGCCACATTGAAAATCTGAAGTGTGGTAAGTTCCCCAGGCTTTACCCTTCTCAGCTGCAGGATACTTGGAATCCTAGAGAAGGAAGATGGCATTGCACAGTAGGAAGAGTCAGAAAACGCTTGGTCCCATCCATCCTTTGGACTCCTCCAGGTGAGAGTGAGAGTCAACTGGGAAACAGAGAGGAGATGCTGATTCTAGGCAGGCGGGGGAACCCTTGGCAAGCAACCACGACTACCAGAATATGAAGTGGAGAAGTAAGCTTTACCCGCAAGTTAAAGCTGACTAGTGACTTGTAGGGGAGTCTGTGACTCCAAGGTGGTATACAAAAATGTACATTTTTGTGGAGGATCCATTCAATAAACTTGTGCATTAACTAGGAATCAGACACAGTTCCAGGAACTGGGAAAATGTTAGTAAACCACACTGCCAAAGTTCCCTGCCCTCCTGGACCTTACACTTCAGAGCAGTGGTTCCCAACTTTTTTGATCATGCCCTACCTAAGCATCTCTAAAATCCTGATGCCCCCCCCTGTGACATGTAATTCTTACTAGAGGCTTGGTGCATGAAATTCATGCATGGGTAAGGTCCCTAGGCCTGGGTGGCGATCAGGGCCAATCTGTGGGGCCACCAATGGGGTGGTGGGGGTGGGGTAGCTGGCCTGGCACCACCTGCTCCCCTGCCCCACTCTCCATCGCCATAGGTTAGGGCAGCTCCTGCATTGAGCATCTGCCTCCTGGTGGTCAGTGTGCATCATAGCAACTGAACATTCTGCTGTTTGTTCAATTTGCATATTAAGGTTTTATTATATAGGATTATTCAAAAAGTGAACTCCTATTCATGTGGAGAAAGCCTAAAAGGCTTGGTCTAAACAAGCTTCCAAAGAACATGGCATCCATGAAAGAGAAAAATAAAAGAATGAAAGGACAGTTGAAGTACTGAGGAAGAAACCACTAAGAAATTGTTAAAAAAATAATAATATTAAGTGATATAAAAATAGAAAATCAAGTTTCAAAACATGTAATAGAGAACTGAAATGCACAAATATGTCACAATACATATTTAGATACCATATATGAGGCCCCTGGAACCATAAGAAATGCAAAAAAATTCATTCAAAATAAATCATTCTTGATTGCCCCTTTTAAAAGTCAAAGTGCTCCTCTGAGGGGCATGCCCCACGCTGGGAACCACTGCTCTAGAGGAAGATGTGAGCCGTAGGTTTATCCTCCAAAAGGGTCTTGATGCTCAGGAGTCAAGATGCTAGACCCGTGGTCCTTCCTCAGCCTTGTGGATCAGCACCACTTAAGGGAAACCTTAAAGGTTCCGAGATTCTGATGGTCCGGCTGGCTGTTGTGTTTGGGAAGGACCGTTTTGAAGTTCCCACTCATTGGATCCTGTCAAGTGTGCGAGCACTGATTGCTTCTGAGCAAAGAGCCTGGAGACCAAGTTCTCCTCGCCAAGATGAGCCAAGGGCCATGGGCCACCTCCCTCTTTCACAGGTTCTACCAGGCCGTGGGCTTTCCAGTTCTGGATATCTCAAGATCTTCCCCGAGTTTTGTGAGCTTACATAGCACCCTCTAAGCAGTGCTTAAAAACTAGTTAAATGTATTCCTATATCCTAGTTCAAGCTTTAGAGAAGAATATTATCATCAGGTAACTTGAAACCCCCAATTATTTCCTAATTCTCTTTCCACATACTACTACTATGTTTTTATTATTTGCCACTTAAAAGTATTCCCTTTACAAGTGTTGGTCCATGTACTCTCCTAAACATCTTGTGCAGCATTGTTATCCTCACTGAGCAGGGGACAGCGGGAGACCCCAGGGGGTCACAGAGCTGGCTCAAGGTCACACGGATTTTGAGCCGCTGGGCCCCTCCTCTCACCTCCCTTATTTAGCCCTTGGTCTCTCTCCTGTGACCAAAGAGGAACAAGCAAGTTATAAATCACGGAGGAAAACATTTGCCTGGGAGACTCCGCGGCCCAGGCCAATGTGGGGAGTGTGGGGAGGGCGGCCTTCCCGGCAGGCGCGGGGTGTTCTTTGTCCGCCGCTCCAGAGCTGGGACCTCGCTCGCCCCACCTCCACCTCCACCTCCTTCTCCACCTCTACCTCCTCCTCCACCGGCCCCGGCCTCGGGCGGCGGATTCCGCTGGGGCTGCCGCACCCGTGCCCACGCCCCGCGGTGCGCATCCCAGCCCCGGGGGATCCTTCTCTCCCGGCGGCGTGGGTTCTCCGGCTTCCCGCCCAGCCGGGACCTGAGCCGGGCAGATGCCTGACTCCGGACATCTTTGCAGGAAAGGCAGCTAAAAAGCCCCCAGCCTCCTCTGTCCACCGGCTCCTTCCCCTCGTCCCTAGTTTCCCTGTGTCTTAAGGAAGTTGGCCCCAAACTTTAAGGGTTCGGGTCTCTGTGTGTGTGGGTGTGTGACATTCACGGGGCCCCCGTTTGGGGGTTCTGCGGGTCCCCCTCCTCCCCAGTCTCTCTTTGCCAGGGACACTGGCCAGACCCGCTCCAGGACCCGGCCCCGCGAGCGGGTGCAGGGCGGGCGGGGGCAGCGCCCACCCGGGGTCCGGCGCCGGGGATCGGAGGGAGAAGTGGGGGGTGGGGTGCGTGGGGGCGGCGGACAAGCAGGCTGGGCGACCCACAGCGTGGCCAGCCGCCGGCCAAAGGCGATTAGAAGGCTCAGGCCCAGGCCGGCGTGAACGTGTGAGCGAGCGCGAGGGTGTGTGCGAGCGTCCCCAACTCCCACCTGTTTGAAATGGTTTCAAAATGCCCCAAAGCCAGATGCACCGCGTTTCAAAAGTTGCAAACAGTTGGGAGTAAAACACGTGCGCGGTCCCCCTAGCTCCAAGGGGCTGTTGCTGCATCCGAGGCCCGGAAAGAAAAGGGGGACTAAGAAGAGTGTAGGAAAGCGGGTAGTTTGCCTCCTCCCGGAAGGTCGGCTTTAGGACCCAAAGGGAAGCACGATGGAATCTCTCCCTCGGGGAGGGAGGGTCGGGGCGGGCGGGCGGCCGCGGGGCGCATGCGCGCGCGTCTCCTCTCCCCGGCCGCCGCGCTCGGCGGCGCAGCACAGAATGAACTGTAACAAAACAAGCCGAGCCTTTGTATCTGCTTAAAGGGGCCGCGGCCGCTTCCCTCCGGCGGCTCCCCCCGCCCGCCGGCGCCTAGCCCCCGCTCGGCGGCGACGGCGTCTGCTGGGCTCCCGGCAACTGGCCGGACGGGCTTCCCGCACCTTCAGGAGCTGCCCGCCGGCGGGGAAGAGGAGACGCCGCGTTTCCAAGAGGCGAGAAAGAAAGGAAGGAAGAAGGAAGGAAGGAAGGAAGGAGGAAGAAGGCAGAAATAAGCGGCGCGGCGGAGTGGACTCTGTCCCGGAGCGCGGCCGGCGCCGGAGCGCGGACCGGGGCCGCCGGAATGCAAACAAAGCTCGCGGGCGCCGGAGCGGAGCTCGCCCGCGGGGCCGCCGGAAAGTTTGCTCCGTGATGGCTTGAGCCGGAGCGCGTGCGGGGAGCGGGGCTGCCGAGTGCTCTCCCGCGGGGACCTCCGGAGGGGGATGTCCCTCCCGTGAGCCGCGGGGGCCGGGCCGCGCGGTGGGGGCACCTGTCCCTCACGTTGTTATTTTTGTGTTCTGTTTTTTTTTTTTTTTTTTTGGGGGGGGGTTGGAGGGGTGCAACTCGTCATGTCGAAAGTGATCCAGAAGAAGAACCACTGGACGAGCAAGGTCCACGAATGCACCGTGCGGCGGGGGCCCCAGGGCGAGCTGGGGGTGACGGTGCTGGGGGGCGCGGAGCACGGCGAGTTCCCGTACGTGGGAGCGGCGGCGGAGCTCCCCGGCGGGGACGGCCCCGCGCTGGGCGCCGGGGAGCTGCTCCTGGAGGTGCAGGGGGTCCGCGTGGCCGGCCTGCCCCGCTACGACGTGCTGGGCGTCCTGGACAGCTGCCCGGAGGCCGTCACCTTCAAGGCCGTCAGACCAGGTAGGACGGGACGCGCCCCCAGGGGAGGCTTGCAGGGCGGGCTGCGGCCTGCGGAGCGCGCATCCCCCGCCCAGGGCATCTCGGTTTCCCGCTTCCACCCTCCGAGCGCAGCTCAGGGGGGACATGAGGCCATGCGCCCTGTCCTGGAGAAATACACGAAGTTGTGTAGAGGAGGTTGCGGGCCGTTTGCTCACCTGACTTGGGGAGGGGGGGGCTGGATTTGCGCCTGTTTGCCAACCTGTTATCCTGGCCCTGAGTGCAGCGCAGTTTCGCCTGAGCCTGGGGAACGGTCAATTGCAGGAGCCCGGGGACAGTCGGGGTGCTGAGCCTGGAGGACAGTCGGGAAGCTAAGGCTGGGGGACAGTCGGGGAGCTGAGGCTGGGGGACAGTCAATTGCATGAGCCCGGGGGACAGTCGGGGAGCTGAGGCTGAGGCTGGGGGACAGTTGGGGAGCTGAGCCTGAGGCTGGGGGACAGTTGGGGAGCTGAGCCTGGGGGACAGTTGGGGAGCTGAGCCTGGGGGACAGTTGTGGAGCTGAGGCTGGGGGACAGTCGGGGAGCTGAGCCTGGAGGACAGTCGGGGAACTGAAGCTGGGGGACAGTCGGGGAGCTGAGGCTGGAGGACAGTCGGGGAGCTGAGGCTGGAGGATAGTCAGGGAACTGAAGCTGGGGGACAGTCGGGGAGCTGAGGCTGGGGACAGTCGGGGAGCTGAGGCTGAGGCTGGGGGACAGTAGGGGAGTTGAATCTGGGGCAAAGTGGAAGCTCTCCTGGCTCCCTGGGGAAGCGTAGCCGCGGGTGCAGAGCTGCGTGCTTTTGCCACTTGTCTGTCCGGACCGGACCTGAGGATGGGTGTGAGCGAGGGCAGGGCCTGTTGGACCTTCTCCGTTAGGAAATCTTTACCTCAGAACCTCCAGGTGGGTTGGGGAGCCCATGTTCCTGAGCCAGCCCCCTGAAGGTCCTGCATGCACTCCACAGCTGGGTGACGCACACGTGTCTCCTCCCGGTGGCTTAGCCCCAAGGCTTGGGGGGCGGGAGCTGGAGGAGGGAAAGGAGGGGTATGTACCACTTAGGGCCAATCAAGCCCAAGTTGGTGCTGCCACTGCCATCACACCCATCGCTGCCCCATCACCCTCAGTGCGGATGATAAGGATAGCTATTACTTATTAACTTACTCTGTGCCGGTCTCTGTAAAATGCTAGCCTTGCATTTTCTTGTTCTGAGTCACAAGAATCCTTGTAAACCCCATGCTACAGATAAGGAAACTGGGATTGCCCTCCCTTCAGTTACTTGCCCAAAGTCACACAGTTACCAAAATGAGGGTCTGAGCCTTGGCTGGAGAGGTGGGGAGCTGACCGATTGGGAGGGCAGAAGCTGACTTGTGAGGAGGGGTGGGAGCAAATCCCTCTCAGTGTCCGGAGAGGAGTGATGTCCTGCTGGTGTGGGGAGGGCGAGGGGTGGTCCCACAGAGAGATTCCCCAAGGCACCCTGGTACTACCGTGCCTGAGACAGATTCTCTGCCAGGAAAGCCCTGGAGGAAGCGGCAGAGAAAATCCCCATGTGTGCCTGCTGTCTGGAGGGGCATGTCAAGGAAGAAGGGTGCTGGTCCTCCTGGTTAACAGGCCTGTTCCAGATGAGACAGGAAGGGTGAGGGGGAGTAGACAGGCCTTTTAGCATTGGGAGCTGAGGGTCCTGGGATGCGCTTTCTGTTATGTCCCCTCCTTCCAGGACACCTTCTCCAAGAAGCCCTGGGACAACCATCCAGGATGAATTGATCTTTCCTCCTCTGAGGTCCCAAGCCTGTACTTCCTAGTTTTTTCTTTGTTCTAAAGCTGAGTTGGATTTCTTGCCTCATTTCCATACAAGGTAGTAAGTGCATTAAAGGGGAGAGTGCTTCATTCATTGCTTATCACCGGGTCTTTGCCTGAGGGCCCATTCCTGGCCTCACCAAAGAATGCGTCCTTATCTGTAAGCCGGCTTTTTTGAGGGTGTTCCCTAAGTTAAGAAGCAAAAAGTATGCAGAACAGTGTTTTGCACATTGTAAGTGCTCAGTAAAAATTAGCTGTTATTGTTACATGTAAATGGAATTTGAGTGGCTGTTTATCTGTTTATTTCTAAGTTTAGCTGCTAAAGTCAGTCACCTGGATGGTGCGTGTCATGGTAGAACTGGAGAGGAAATACTGTGAGAAAGCATGTGATGGGAGTAGCTGCAGGCCTCAGTTCAGGGGCCTTTGGGGAAAGGGGAGCCATCTCTCTAGTTGGGGACCTGCAGGTGTCCGTTGGGTTCTGTATGGGAGCTGTTTTCCGTATTAAGATGCTGTGTGTGGCTGAAGCTCTTCCAGGAGTTATCAGAGATCCTGTGGGCATTGTCCCAGGGCTGACTCCTCATGGAACTCAGGAAGGGTCGGTCGGATAATCCAGTGTGTTTGGGTCAGACATCTCTGGGTTGGAAGAAGGTGGTAGTGTCTCCAAGTGTTATGTTATTCCCTTCCCCCAGAACCATCCCATGCGCAGTGCAGGCATGCCCACAGCAGGGGTGTGTGTACATCTACTGTCCTCCTCGTGGTGGGATAGAGTAAGGATGTGGACGAGGACCCTCGAATGGCCTGGAATCCGCTAGGAAATGAAAGCTGCTTCATGTGATAATTACACGGGCGTAATTAGATCTTTAACACCTTCATTACAGAAACATGGCACTGGAGAGCATTTCCCTGGTCTTCCGATCCCTCCTTTATATTGAGAATATGATTGCAATCATGCCAGGATTGCTCTTACTGGGCCTTTATTACTGCGTTTCAATCATGGTAGGAAGGCTCACCAGTTGGTACATGGACAGGAAAATGTTACTTTTGTGTTGTCTGCGCCCTGAGCTGGCCTCTCCCAGGGACATGGGCCCCTGTGGGTGCTGTCTGTGTGGAAACGTCACAGTCTTCTTGTGGAAGAAAATTCTGCTGCTATTTCATGGCAGGTCTCTGGAAACATGCACAGACCAAAATAGGCTGTGGCAAATGGTGTTATATGAAGCAGGACTGGGTTGTGAAGGAATCAATCTAAATGGATCTACCAGGTGGGAGTTAATTCATTTTAAAGGGAGAAATGCCTAAAAAATTTCATGTCTATATGCTATGTGAATGTTACTATTATTTTTAATGTATGTATGTATTTATGTTTTTATTGACTTCAGAGAGTGAGAGTGGAAGGGAGAGGAAAGGAAAAACAGCTCAGCTGCTTTCTGCATTCCCCTTACTGGGGATCTAGCCAGCAACCTGGGCATGTGCCTTGAATGGGAATCGAACCAGCAACCTCTCAGTGCATGGGACAGTGTTCAGCCAAATAAGCGACCCTGGCCAGGGTTAAGTAAATGTTATTGTATATATACTAATGACCTGGTGCGCGAAATCGTGCGAGTCCCGGAATCCCTCCCCTTGTGCGCCTCCCAGAGCATGCAGCCTTGTCCTCCCACCCAGAAAGAGTCCTGCAGCCTCTGCCCCCCCACCACCGCCACCAGAGGGGGGACCCAGAAAGAGTCCTGTGGCCACTGCTGCCGCCACAGAGGGAGGCGGGACCCAGAATACCGCCCGCTGCACCCGCAGGACCCAGAAACCCACCTGCTGTGCCGCGGGACCCAGTCTTCCAAAGCCAAGGCCCCACCCCCCCCCTTGTGCACCCAGTGCGCATACAGTCTCCTGCTGATCAGTTGTTACAGTGAGAGGGCGTCATGGCCATTAGCATATTAGCTCTTTATCATATAGGATATACACTGAGTGGCCAGATTATTATATAAAATGTGTGTATATCTAATATATTTTAGAGGCACGTTGCATGAATTCATGCATGGGTGGGGTCTGGCCAGCCTAGGCAGGGGGAGGGGAATTGAGTGGTTGGCTGGCCTGCCTGTTGGTTGAACTCCTGGTCGAGGGGACAGTTTGCATATTAGCCTTTTATTATATAGGTTATACACTGAGTGGCCAGATTATTATGCATGCATTCAGAGATCATAATAATCTGGCCACTCAGTGTATATAATAAAGCATATATGAATACGTTATGAGTATATATTTACCCATAGTAAAATGCATGCTCTTAATTACATTGTTTGCTGAGTTCTGACCATTGTATTATATATGCTCATGTTATCTTCACCCAGATCAAGATAGAGGACCCCAGAAATTTCTGTCATGTCTCCTTCCAGTCAGTTCCCCCCACCCTCCAGAGGCAAAGACTGTTTGATTTCTTTCTCCAGGAATTACTTTTGTCTATTATTCAAATTCACACAAGTGAAATAATGCAGTATGTTCTCTTTGTCTGGATTTTTTTATGCAGAAAAATATTTTGGGGATTTCATATGGCTGTGTGCATCATTGTTCCTTTTTATTATTGAGTAGTATTTCATTGTATACACATACCAGGTTGTTTATATTTTTGTTCCTCTAGGAACATTTGGACCATCTATCATTTTTTGACTACTGAATGATAGCAAATAAATAAAGCTGTTCTACATGTTCTAGTGGCTCCACATTTTTGCTAATCTTTGATCTTGTCTGTTTTTTGAAGTTTAGCCATTCTTATGTATGTGGAAAAAGAAAAAAAAAACTAATTAAGGAAACTTTGCTGCCGGATGTAGCTGTCTTTATTAAGCTGGTCTTTATGAAGCACTGGCATTGGAATGTGCCAGGCCCTTGGCTAAGCTAGTGCTTGATGGGCATTTTGTTTTTTATTCCTCGTAACTTAGATGTCAGAAACCGAGGGCCAGAGAGTTTGGGTGGCTTTTCCAAAGGTCATACAAGCGGCAGAAGTAGAGCTGGAACTCAGCTGTGTTGGATTCCAAAACCTATTCCCCTAGTCCTGGGTGAGTGGGTCTCAGGAGGGACCCCTGACCAGTGGCATTGGTATCTCCCGGGAAACTGGTCAGATTGCACATCCCCATGCCCACTGATGCTGAAGCTCCTGGGGGTGCAGTTTGAGGGGTGTTTGCAGTAGCCCCCATGATTCTGATGCCTGCG